GACACATCTGGTCCGTGAAGCTTGTGCCTTGTCAATGGATTTACTTCTGAAGGAAAAGAGAGAATTGGGTAGAGCAAATCCAACTGTTGTCATCATCTTCAACCTCTGAGTCTGCTCTGTAAGACAGTGAAAGAGTCGTTGTATGTTGAATTAATTAATTATCCACTCTTATTATTTGTTCTGTTTTTTTCCCACGAACAAATCCAATGGGTAAATGGTTTATGATGGATCATTTCTACTTGGATCGGACTTATTATGGGCCTGCTTCTAGATTAAGCTTGTTTTATCAAGTCGCACTATTTCAATGGAACCGATTGGTAAGTACAGTGGTTGTAACTTATAAATTTCTGGTAAGGACAATGATTGCAAGTTTTGTTGTGAATATTAACAAAAGCCTATAAATGTTAAATATAGTAGAAACTGTGTTGCTTTTAGGGTCAATCGCAAGAATAACAATTTTTTTTTAATAATTAGTAAAGTAACAAAATTAGCATATGTGGCTAAATATTAACCCTTAGATTTAGGTTAAAATGGTTATAATTTTTATTATAGATTTTTTCTTAGTTATTGAATGCAATTTCCCTTGCTTTCACTTTCAACCCGTTTTTTTGGCAAATAATCTATATGTAATAACAATCCTAAAAAAATAAATATTTTTAGGAAGATTTTTGGGTTGTCTTTTCGTAAAAAACTGTTTGGTGTTTGGTTCCAAAGTTGTGTCTTTTCGATATAACCATTTTGTTAAAAGTTACGTTTTTTTTCTTCATTATAACCGTTTTGCCAAGAGTTGCGTATTTCGTAAATAACCGCTTTGGTAATTTTTAAGGGTTACGTTTTTACGAAAAAAACATGTTGCCTATATATATGTTTTAACGTTTTCTCCTTAGGAACATTTTGTTAATCATGATTATTAGTTCTATAATTCACTTAGGACATAAAAAAGATAAAAAACACCATTCTATTATTTTCAAATTATATAAAGTAGGGAATTGGGTTTTATAACCATTTCAAAATCTAGTCAAAATTCTCTATGTGGCAACATTTTAGCCATTGTATCTAGGGGTTTTAGGTAGGTTTTGAAATATAATTTTTTTTTTTTGGTTATAGAGTTAAATGACCCTATAAAGTATTGATATTTTTATTACTGATGAAGTTCCAAGAAAAAATGATTTCTGTAAAGAATTTTGGATTTCTTTACACAATGCAAATTTTATGGCAAAATTTAAATATATAAAAACTAATGAACTTTCCAACTATATTTTTCTCAAAAATGAGTTGTGCATGTAGTGAGTTTTTAGATTTAACAATTCTCTACGGAAACATTGACTCTTTATATACATATTTTGTTTTTGAACATCTGATTTATTGATCACAAAATTACAATCTCATACGAGATAACGTTGGATACAAGATGGTGGAACATTATATATACAACAAGACATATATTGAGATTTTCCTAAATGAGCCATTTTATCGGCTATCTCATTAACTTTTCGCGCCACGTAAATCACTTGAACACCTGCAAATCGATTCATCCAATGAAAAATATCATTGATTAAATTATCCATTGCTATGTCTTTTGTTTTTTCATGGATTAAGTCAACTAGTAGTTGGGAAGTGCCTTCAAATATGATCCATCAGTAACCTCGGTGCCATGATGTTTGTAAGGCATGAAGTAAACTAGACCCTTCCGCTTGAAGTGTCGTAGTTGCTTTCGGTAAGAAAGATGATGCTGTTATAACAAACTCTCCATTAGAGTTGTGAATTATTCACCCCGAACCAGTTTGACTGCTTGTCGAATTATAACACGCATCATGATTGCATTTGAGCCATCCATTTGGAGGAGGAGACCATGACTCGTTAGATTTGAAAGCATTTTTTTGGGTTGTATACATTGAAATATTGAAATCGTGTTAAAATTGCTACAAAATACAAGGATGAAAAGACACTCACAAGCGATTTGATTATCGACTATATTCTTGATATGCATTTGAGGTTTTAAATGGTATTTTGTTTTAAAATTGACGGTATGACTCCAAAGAAGTGTAAGCGTCAACATAACCGCTTTTTCAGAGGTTGCATTTTTCCGATATAACTGCTTTATGGTTATTTCTAAGGATTGTGTCTTTCGATATAACCGCTTTATGGTTGTATTTTAGGGTTTTGTCTTTTGAAAATAACCGTTTTATGGTTATTTTCAAAGGTTGTGTCTTTTCGATATAATTTTTTTTTAGGAGTTGCGGATATAACCGCTTTATGGTTATTTCTAAAGATTGTGTCTTTTCAATATAACCGTTTTATGGTTGTATCTTATCATTTTGTCCTTTCGAAAAAACGTTTATATGGTTACTTTCTCACATTGTGGCTTTTCGATATAACCGTTTTATGATTATTTCAAAGGGTTGTATTTTTTTGATATAACTGATGATTATTTTCAAGGCCTGTGTTTTTTTGTGTTTTTAACTCTATTAATTTTATAGTTATTAATGTATCATTGAGTTACGTCTTTTTGAAAAAAATATTTTTATGGTTATTAAAGCAACTAAGAATTATATTTTTATGTAGTAGTTCTGTCATTGAATTGCATCGAATTGTTTCGTCATTCAAAAAAACATGATAAACGGATTGCACTTGAATTACATTATAATTCATAAATTTGACAAATCACATGGTATTCAAACTATACCGCTTCCACGCTTTAGTCGAAATCACAACTAAACATAAGTAGCATTCATAGCCTAAGTCTAAATTAATTTGGTTTGAACATAAAGAAAAGACTACATATGAGCTATTTTGCAATTATTTATGTGTCTTAGGTGAATTAACATAATATTATTCTTTCTTCTTTAAAATCGTCGATATTATTCTTTCTAGATTAAATATTTTTCTTCACACCTTTTTGTAGAGTGTAGAATATATATTTATAAAATTTATTTTTCCGTGATATACACGATTACCACAAACTGTTTGCTTATCTTGCTTTTTTAAGAAAGATTTAATTCTAAAAATTATCTTCAATGAGTTTCCTCGTGATTTCACCAACCATTTGTCCTTATGTGTATGGCGTATACATGATAAGTAAAATTTATCACAAACAATTACATATTTCATTAACCTTATCATAATTTTTAAAAATATAATCCAAAAATTTTGAACTACCAATCATGTATTAGAGACTTGATTTTACAGATATCACCGTTATCATTTGTGACACTCGTATAGTGGAGGAAATTAGGGTTTTAGGAAATCCTTAGAGATTAGCCATGAGAAGAAGCAATCATAAAAAAAAGAGGAAGACAGAATCTCAAGATCTAATTCCTACCGATCTTGTGTTCGAAAATCTCAAGAGATTGCCTGCAAAATCCGTAGCTAAGTTTATCCTTGTGTCAAAATTATGGGAAGCAATAATCCATAGTCGTGATTTCATCAGATCATTTCCTTTTCAATCCTCCTCTTCATGTCTTCTCATAGCTTACAACCACAACGATAATCGAAGCAAACGTCAAAATTTGTTCTTTTTTTCCTCCACAGGAACCGACCAGACTATTTCCGATCTCATTTCTCGTACATTCCATGTCCCGGAGCTCCGATGCAACAACGAAACTCACCATTACGTACATGGCTTGATGTTTTCTGAGTATGGACAACACCGAGTCATAACTAACCCCAGCATCGGTAAGTCCATTACTCTACCTACACTCATATCAAGGAGAGATATTAAGAAAAGTTTTTTCGGATATGATCCGGTTGATGATAAGTAAAAAGTATTGTGTATAGCTAAAGCAACGTATGGAAGTGGACCCGAGTCGCGCCTAGCGGACACCAAGTGTTGACGTTAGGATCATCATCTAAATGGCGAAATATTGAATTTAGCGATCCTCATCATCCTATATATCTAACAGTCTATGCATAGATGGAGTCTTGTACTATTTTGCTTTGATGGGAAAAAATGTGATGGATCAATTTAGCTTAGTGACATTTGAAGTGAAGTCTGATAAGTTTAGTGTTCTCCCAATTATGGTGCCAGCGGATTTAAATTCACGTTGGCATAATTTGGTATGTTACATGGCGAAACTAGCCATAGCCAAGAAAACTGGTTGGTACACGTTTGATTTGTGGATTTTGGAGAATGCAAAGAAACATGAATGGTCCAAGATATGTTTATCTATTCGTCCACCGGACAACATGCGTTGGATTTCTCCTTTACGCATGATTGGCACTATTAATACTGGTGAGATTATTTTTTTGCTTTATGATATAAATGGATACTTACATGTCTATTATGATCACCAAAAGAAATACTCAAAGAATAGTCGAAATTCAATGTAACGCTAACGATGTTAGATTATTTGGGGAAACACTTTGTTTTGCGGAATACATGCAAAGTGTTATGTTGTTGTAGTAGAAAAAAAAAAGAG